ATTGGGTGAATATAATTAAAGCTGTTTGAATGAGCATGTCTCTTTTTTAAACATGTGTGCTTTAAATATTTTATACATATGTGTATACCTGAGTACATGTGTGTGCACCATATTCATGCCTGATGCCAGCAAAGGTCAGAAGAGGCATCGGATCCCCTAGAACTGGAATTACAGTTGGTTGTGAGTCATCTTGTGGGTGCTGGGAATCAAACCTAGATCCTCTGGAAGAGCAGCCTGTGTTGTTTCTGTAGCTCCCAACCCCCCCCCCTTTATAGACAGGGTCTCATGTAGCTCAGACTGGCCTTAAAAAAAAAAAAAAAACAAAAAACAAAACCCAAAACAAAAACCAGTATGTAGCCAAGGATAACCTTGAACCTCTGATCCTCCTGCCTCTACTTCTCAAGTGCTGGGGTTACAGTCATGTGCCACCCGTGCCCAGTTTATGTAGTGCTAGGGTTCAAACTGAGGGCCTTCCTTCATGCCAGGTAAACACTGCCAAACTGAGCCCCTGTTCAGGAACTTTTAAATGGCCCCAAATGTCCCAAAGCAGAAACCCTGTCAGAGTGCTGTGAGAGAGTGCTGCCAGGCTGCAAAGTTCAGCTGTGGGTTGGAGTCCATGTCAGGCTTCACTAAAGCTGCACGTTTCTTCTCTGATGGCCTGTGTTGTGTCAAGTCAAGGCCCTTTGGAGAGTTAGGGGCTGCAGGTGGTCACTCTCCTTCATTGTTCAGGTCAGCTCCTTCCCATAGGCTCATCTTTCCTGTAGTAACTAGTGGGTGTGATATGGGCCCAGGTAAGTTAGTCTGCTCAGTTTTCTGTATGTGGGTGTGTGTCTTTTTCTGATAGAGAATGAAGACAGCATGTCTGCAGCCCTGCTGCTGGCAGCTGTTGGCTTAGTTGATATGCTCTTACTGAATTTTTTCATGAAAATTTCAATCTCTCCAAATCATTCTATATATGCAACTTCATGGTAGCTTCCATCTCATGATGTCTTAACAGAAGCATTTCTCTGGGTTCCCACACAAGCCTGTAAGCATTTTAACAGCTGCACACATCATAGTTGTGCCTGGTTATCCTTAGGATTGGATCCAGAACCACCAGCGACTTGGAAGATTTGCTTGCAGTAGTTGTGTATCTGTTTGATAATCAATGCTGCTGTAAGATAGCCCAGCATTGTTTGTGATTACTGTGGTGATTTGAATGCCAGGAAACCATTGCTTTAATGTATCTGTCAGGGAGCAATGACAAGAAAGTCTGTACATCTTTCCTTCAAAATATTTGCAGTCTAAGATTGTCAGTTACAGATGTAAAAGCTATAGACACAAGACTAACTTTGTCTGCTTAAGGATTCCTATTTGAAGCTGGTGTGTGTGGTAGTACACGCCTTTAATCCTAGCACCTGGGAGGCAGAAGCAGGCACAGGTGGAGCTGTCTGAGTTCTGGGCCAGCCTGGTCTACACAGTGAGTTCCAGTACAGCTGAGACTACATAGAGAGGCCTATCTCAAAACAAAACAAAAAGATTCCTATCTTAGTCACTGTCTCACCAGCTAATTCAGCAATTTTCAGTGGCAAGGTCCCAGTTGAGGGGAGGTAGGGGGCTGTACCTGAGGGCGCTTTTGGGAGCCTCCAGATTTTGTTTTGTTTTGTTTTGTTTTTTTGAAATAGGATTTCTCTTTGGAGCCTGTCCTGGAACTCGCTCTGTTGACCAGGCTGGCCTCACACTCACAGAGATCTGCCTGCCTCTGCCTCCAGATGCTGGGATTGAAGAGGCGCTCCACCAACGCCAGGTTTTTGTTTTTTTAAAGATTTATTTATTATATATACAGTATTCTGCCTGCCTGCATGCCCCAAGAGGGTGCCAGATCTCATATATGGTTGTGAGCCACCATGTGGTTGCTGGGAATTGAACTCAGGACCTCTGGAAGAGCAGTCAGTGCTCTTAACCTCTGGCTCCCATGTGCCTTGCAGCCCCTTAAAATCCTATCACTCATCATCCTGACCTCACCTTGACCACGCCCTGACAGGCGTGGTCAGGCACACCTGTTGCCAGCTTCTAGCAGGTGTGGCTTACACTGTCCCCTATGTCTACCTTCCCAGGGCTTAGAGTACAGGTATGTTACTACACCTGGCTTCATCTGGAGTGGGCAGAGCACAATCAAGTTGGGGCACCCTGGTTTGCACAAGTTGGGAAGAATTCCTGTGGCTTCCTGTGGAACCAACTTCCAGGGGCCAGAAAAGAACCTTTGAGTGCCCTGCCCTGCTCTCTATCACTCTCCACTTTATTCAGTTGAGACAGGTGTTTTGTTGACCCAACCTCCAGTGTTGATTTTACCTGAGGGTACAGCTATACCACTGAATGCTGAGGATTTGAACTCAGATCCATGTATTTGCTCAGCAAGCAAATACTGAGCCCATGTCCTAATCCTCAGGGACAGACTTTGAGGGAAATGTTTGCTTTTCCTAGGGTCTCTGTAAGTTGGGAGCCTTCAGATGCTTAGAGTAGGGTCAGGTTAGTTGGTCAGAAGAATCCATTCAGGCCTGGCTCACACAGGAACATCTGTGTTCCCTGTCATGCGCCTGGGTACAAAAGTGTCTTTGTGGGGTTGAGATGCCATCACGAGGCCAGAGTGTCTCTGCTAGAATCGTTTCTCTAAGAAAGCCAAAGCCTGCTGTACATACTCAGCTGATTGTTCGGACAGTAGCTGTGAATTCTGCCACCTGTGGAACTGAGAGCTGTGCATCCCTTTATAAAACCACAGTACCCTTTAATAAATGCTCTTTGTCTTGGAGTTCCACACCGATGCAGTAAGGCATATTTGTAGTGCTGACTCTTCACCATTCTCACTGCCTTGGTGGTGGTAACAGTAGTCTGTTCCATTTACATTTGAAGCAGTCTGATCTCACAGGTGTGTTCAACAGCCCTGAAAACCTGAGAGGTCTCGTTGCTGCATACAGCAATTCTGCCTGGAGCCTACACCATTTGTTCCTGACTGGTGGCTCTACTGTGACTTGATGGCCACTGAGCAGCTTTCCCTGCAGGATAAGACTCATTTTCTGAGCACTCCATGCTGATGACGCCTCTGTGTTTATTCCTTCCGGATTGATTGTAAACAGGATGTCAGTGCTGTCTCTGATCTCATTGGGGGTTTGTGAACCACTCCCCACTCTTCATCAGGAGGCTCCTGTTCTAGCGGTTTGTAACAAAGAAGCCTCACTAAGTGGGCTAGAATCCCCCAGGTCTGCCCCATAGAGCTGTCTCTGTCTCACTGCCTGAGGGGTCCAGCCTCGGTTAGCTTGATTTAATGCCTTCTTTCCTTCTCGAGCATGGGAAAGTGGAGGCCTGAATGTTCTGGTTGGCATCAGTGAGGTTGGAAACAAATCAACCAAATGGTATATTTTTAAAAAGTGTACTGTTAAATCTAATCATGATAATGGATTTGAGGTGGTTTTATTACCATACACTTGTATTTCTAAAGAGGTCCTGTGAAAAGTATAATTGGGGTAATGCTTTAGGATGGAATTAGGCCTGGTTTTATTTGGGAAGGACTTTGTCTAATATAGATTAGAACATTTAACACAATTAGCCCAAGCTTAGAAATAAACTTGTCCATCTTTCTGGGTACCCCCCCATCCCCATCTATTCATGAGTGCAGCCATTCACTGAATAATTGTTTATTGGCCTGGGTGTGAGGAAAGACTACTCTGTGGGTCTTAGTGCAGGGGCAGGAAGTTGTGCTGAGATACACAGTAACCCAGAGGAGACCTGAGCCGGGAACCATCAGGTACAGTGGCTCCCTCAGTAGGTAGGCCTCCACCTGCAGATTTTATTCAAACTGAGAGTGTGCAGAGGAGGGATTCATTCAAGCTCATTCTCTCTCATACTCCTGTTGCATTTCAACTTCTGAAAATTCCTGGTTAGTATGAATGTAGATTTGGGGCTTGTTATCTCAGCTAGGACTCCATATTTCACCCCTTCAGTAAAAGTAGTCTTTACAGGAACCTCTGATTGTCACTGTTAACTTGCTAGGAACCTGAGCAAAGCACACCTGTGTACAGTATTACACAAGCACTCAGAGTCTACACAGAACTGTGTGGGCCTCATTTTCTTAAGCATGCTTTCCAGATGTTGGTGTTTGGATTGGAGCCCTTGGTCCCTGGGCTCTTTCACATGATCGAAGGCTTTTCTAGAACTCTTACCTTGGACCTCTGTTTTCTATGGTCCATTTCTCTGGAGCAGCGATCTGCTCTGAAGACTGAGATTCCTTTCTCCTGAGGCATGACCTCCAGCCAAGGTTTCATGTGTCTCCTGTAGGCATACAGCCATGTTTGACTGGCACTTGACTTTAATTCTGAAATACCTGTAGCTTGATCCTGTCCTCTCCCCCGGCCACATGGGTTTGAGATGAGAATGGAGTACTGTCTTGTGCTAGGAGTGAGAGGGACAAACCTGTCTTTGCATGTGGTGATTTGCCTCCCTACCCCACAGCTACTTCCCCACGAGTGTCCTCCGAACTGGAGCAGGCCCGGCCACAGACGAGTGGAGAAGAGGAGCTGCAGCTGCAACTGGCACTTGCCATGAGCAGAGAGGTGGCAGAACAGGTCAGTGGTTGTGTGGTCATGCCCATGGGATCTTCACCCTGGTGCTCCTGGGGGAGGGGCATGGCTCCCAGAGAGGATGACACACACAGCCCTGTCTTTAAGGCACTTACTTGATGAGTTTGGTCTTGTGGCCACAGTGTATACTTATCCCCTAGACCAGGCAGATCTATGTCTAGGAAAGGTTTTCATGGGGGTCAGAAGCAGCTAACCTTAAGTGCCTCCTGGAAGTTCCAGTGCAGACTTACCATCCAGGGACTCCTGAGGGAGCTCTGTGCCTCTTTGAGGAGCCAGCATACAGGGCAATGGGCAGGACAGGCCTGGGTTGGGGGCAGAGGGTAAGTGGGGTGGGCCTGGTCCCTGCCAAGGCAGTATATCCTGTGGCAGATATGTGGGAAAAGTCTAGAAGGGAAGCTTCAGGAAAGAATGCATGCGGGCATGATAGAAGCAGCATAGATTTTTTTTTTAAGTGTGTGGTGTAAGATGAAACCCAGACCCTTTGTAAGGAAGTGCTCTAATATTGAGCCTGTGTGTGGTTTTGTTTTCCTCTATACCTTGTTTTTAATAAGCATGCATTACTTTAAAATAGAGGAGCAAAAGGGGCGATTCAAACACCTTTAGACAGTGTCCCTTTGCTTTCAGTCATCAGAAAGCGTGCAGACAGCCAGAGGCAGCAAGGTACACCCCTCGTATGGAGAGAAGAATGTTGGGTGTTAAATGTGAACACAGAGAGGTTTGGAGGGAAATGATGG